TTTATATTTGCTTCTTCAGAAGATTCTGGGGATTTTATGCTACTTTCTGATTTTAGAATTTCTATACCAGTGAGGAGTATGATTTTGGATCTTGTATCTGCAAGTGGCAAGTAGAAAGGCTTGAGATTCAACATTTATTATAGGTGTTTCCCACCTATGGTCACATGTAGCTGGCAAGCATTTTTGTCACTTCTTAGGCCAATGTTGCAAAAATTTTAAAGTTTCTTAATTTGGGTAATATAATTCTTCAAAGATTCCTCTTTTTATTAGAGGAATCAGTAACATCTTCACATCTTCTGGCTTTGGCCATAAATTCATTGTTTCTAGTTCTTGTGTGGACATTAGAATCCTACCCTATTGTCTTAGTGTCCCTATTGAATCTGAAACCCTATGTCCTACTCTCTCCTAATCATTGCATCAGCCACTCCTTTCTTCACCAATCTCCAACTAGCTCTTTATCCCCTTAGCACCTGAGGATTTTCTTTCTTTATTTTTTTAAAATTCAAAACTCATATATGAATAAAAAATTCTTGAACATTTTATTTAGCTTTGATATGTATTTATGGTAGAAGGGGAGCTGGTCAGGATCATAGAGTCTACCATTTTCAATGAACTCTTTATTATGTGGTTAGTAATTATATTATTTTCATGTGAATATTGAGCAAACCACCACAAATTTAGTGGATTAAGACAACAAAAAATTATTATCTTATAGTTTTGTAAAAATTTATTATCTTATAGTTTTGGAGTCTAAAGTGGACCTCACTGGGCTAAAATCACGGTATTGGCAAGGCTGTGTTTCTTCTGGAGGCTGCAGGGAAGAATCCTTTTCCTTGTAATTTTTAGCTTCTAAGTGCTGCTCCTATACCTTGGCTCTTAGCCTTCCTATATTCCTCTATCTTCATAGGCGGGACAAATTCTTCTCTTATTAAACTACTCTCAACTTCTCTCTGCCTCCATCTTCCACATTTGATAACCTCTGTGACTAGACTGGACACACCCAGGAAATCCAGGATAATCTCTCTATTTTAAGGTCACCTCACTAGCAGTCTTAAGTCTATTTGCAACCTTAAATCTCTCTTGCCACTTAAAATAACGTTCACAAATTGTAGGGATTAGGACATGGACATGTATTTTTTTTGGGGGGGGGCGGGTCAGGGAAGAGGAGGAAGACATTATTATTCCCACCATAATGATTGCAAGCAAAAATTTTCACATTGTCTAAAGAAAGTTCGAGTGTATGTTGATTTTACACATAAGACAATCACAACATGAAGGGATGTGATAAAGGTACCAATATGGTTGTAAAGTTTTTGTATTTCAATTGAAGTGGTGGTAACATATGGGATTCCAGTAGATGGTGAAAAGTTAAGTAATTTATTGTTTTCCCTAGAACACCATTTTTATTTTATTTTTGTAGCTAGAGAAATCTAAATTTAGTTTATTTTTATTGCATTATTTTGGGTGACACTGGTTCACAAATCCATATGGGTTTCCATGTAAAACTCAATAAAACATCATCTGCACACTGCATCATGTGCCCCTTGCCCCAAGCAAAGTTTTTTTCCATCCTCATTTCCCACTCCCCTTTGCCCACCTCCACCTACCCCCAGCCCCATTTCCCTCTGGCTATCACCACACTGTTGTGATATATCTATTATATAGAAAGGGCGAATATCACTATTCGCCCTTTCTATATAATAGAAGTGTCAACCAAATTCACGATCGACAATGACAGATTGAAACACACGCATGTGATTGGTGCAAGTGAGAGCTTTATATCCAGGGGTCTCTTTACCTTTTTTCATCCAGCTCCTAACCCCTCTCCCCTCTGACAGCTAGCAGTCTTAGAACACTAGTTTAAAAGTTATATAAAAAGATATAGTTAAAAGATGTATAGATAAAATGAAATACTAAAAATACTGGCATTTAGTGGGTAGAGACCAGGGGTGCCATTAATCATCCTACATGGCACAGGACAGTCCTAATAAAGAACTACCCAAGTTAAAAATATCAATAACTCTAAGGTTGAAAACCCCTCCCAGGTGAAGAACCTCTGCCCTAACTAATACAATGATTAACCTGTAGTATGGTTTTCCAAAGCTTTGCATTTTACTTTTATAGAAACAACTCTCTATGTACTCATATTTTAATGGTTTCCATATCTATATATATAAAAGGCTAATATGCTAAGTGTCCCTCCCACTGTCTGACTGGTTGCTATGAAACACACTGACCACCAGGGGGCAGATGCTCAATGCAGGAATTGCCATGATGTGCACTTGGCATTTACAGAGAAATGGCAGCGTGGACCTGGCACCGACAAAGCAACATTCAGCTTTCCCCAAGTGGGACACAGGCCCTGCCACCACTCGAAGTGACAGCACACCAAAAGGCAGCCAACACTGCCAAGATCCCATGGCACAAAATGTGGCCCAAATGTGGGAATGGTGGCTGTGGCTGCCAGATAATGCCGTCACGTAGCAATGCCCGGCTTCCTCTCCCTAGCAACGACTAGCCTCCTTGCAGTTTCTTCAGCCCAGGAACACGACTTGCTTTATAGGCAGCTGAAAACATTTCACACTTTAACCAAATGTCTGTGAAGCGTTTTCCCGTGCCTCATCTCATTTGATCCTCACAAGAGTCCTGGAGTAGGTAGATAGGAGACTCTGTGGAATCCTATTTTATTTTCATTAGCCAGAAAACGGAGATTTAGAAAGTTTAGAAACTTGACCTGACTGAAAAGAAGTAAGAAATGGTGGACATTGAAAATGACTTCAGGTTTTCTCATGCGCAGAATATAGTCAAACACTGCTGCAGTTAAATATTTTACCCTTTGTTCTCCCTGCATGATCTATAATAATAATCTGCTTTGTGTTGCTATTTACTGCTGTGTTGCTGACAATTACCTGAAAGAGAAGTTGGGCTGCTTCACTGAGCTGGAAAAGTTTTACATCAGAAAGCAGGTCTAATCAAGCAAGTTTATTCTATATCTATAAAAGGCTAAGTTGACTTGCGCATGCACGATACATATAAAGCTCTTGCTGGCACCAATCACATGCGTGTGTTTTAATCTGTCATTGTCGATCGTGAATTTGGTTGACACTTCTATTATAGAGAAAGGGTGAATAGCGATATTAAAATATTTCTTCTAATTCATTTCCTTTCAATGTGCATGAATCTGTGCACTGGGCCACTAGTATCATATTATTACAGTAGCAGGTTAAGCTGAATAATTTTGGGTACAAAATACCACTCTTCTAGAGGGAGCAAAAGTGTGTGTGTGTGCGGGGGGGGGGGTGATACTAATGACAAGCTTACAAACCACCAGATTTCAGCATGTCATATGTGAGAGTCAGAGAGATTGAGGGTACCCCAGATTCTATGATTTGGTAGAGTAAAAGTAGGTTAGAAGAACTTTTACATGTAAATATGGATGTATCAGTATATGTACTTTTCTATCTCATTTTATCTTCCAATAGAGTTTTAGGTTATGGGATTATTTAAAATGTATTTTATGGAACGTTTGTAGATTCTTATTGCAATTCAATATTTTAGATGTAATCCTAAAGATCTTTAATTCCCTGATGAATATTGTTCTTTGAATTAATTCAATTCAATTATATTATTTTTATTTTGTATAGCTTTGCAAATGTAGGAAGATTCATACAACAATACTTTAATATGTAAGTATTGAAATATTTCTCAAAGTTCACAAAATTAGAAATAGAATTAAATGGAACAGTTGATATGGAGAGATAATTAAAAATTAACTTGGAAAAGCTTCTAGATCCTGTTTTTTCCCCTTAAAAATTCCAAGGGCAAAGTCAAAAATGTCCCACTCATCTCATTATAGTATACTATAGTACACTTTGCTCTGCAGGAGCCTCAGACCCTAACCAGGAGGTATTCTGGTAACCAACTCTGTAGGATCCTGTTGGAGAACTCAGAATCTACCTGTATGGATGGAAAGTTAAGAAACTCAGTTGAACTTGTATAGATTAACATTTTAATCGCTTTGAAACATAACATTTTCAATATGGGAGTTGAATATCATTATTCAAATTCACCTCAAAATTTTAGGGCTGTGTTGAAAGTATTATATGCCATCGACCTTGAATATACTTTTGCCTGCTGAGAATTAGATCTTAAATGATCTCACTGTTATGGTTCTGGCATGTATGGTGAAATGATGGGTAGAGAGCATTCATGAATATGATCAACAGTGGGGGGGCGCTTTTCTCTCTTTTCCACGTTCAGGTTTCTCTCTCCAGTCCATCCATATTTTTCTATGTCTGCCTATCATCTATCTATCTATCTATCTATCTATCTATCTATCTATCTATCTATCTATCATCTATCATCTATCATATATTATCTATTCCTTTTCTGGTGGGCAGACATACTGTCCCTGCTGCCCTTGCCTACTGCCAGGTGCTTGTCCTGAAGAACTACTAGAGCCCTGGTCTCCCTGCTGCGTGGCGAGGGGGCGCGCGAGGTCCCGGAGCTGTCCAGCAGTTCCTGGCTAAGTTCTTCCTGGTTCTCTCCGCACCTGGGAAGCTCTCCAGCGCCCCGCCCCTGGCACGGATCCTCCCCTCCAGGGCTCCCAGGGCTTCCTAGGCTTGCCACCCGTCTCCGCCAGTCTCCCTCTAGCGTGCGTTGGCAGCCCTCCTCTGCACGCCCCTGAGAGGGAGTCCTCTCTGCAGCGCCCCGGGCTGCTCGGGAGCCCCGCGCAAGATCCTTCGTGGGCTTTTCTTTCCTTTGCCTACAGGGCGGGCGAGTGTCTCTCCTAGTCTTGCCCGCTGTGCTGTTGGTCCTTTCTCTCTGTCTTTCAAGACAAGCGCCCGAAATCAAGGGGTAAGAGGAAAGACCACCCATCAACTTAGCACCTTGCATGTAGATCTTTCCATCCCGAGAGGAGGCTGGCTTTGCCCAGGTCAGCCAGGGAGTAAGGGAGGAGGGTGGGAGCTGCAGCCACTCTGGGGCTGGCTAGATGGGTCTTGGAAACCTAGGAGCCGGGTGCGGGAGAGGGACGCACAGCGCCGGGCCTCGCCCTCGGCGGTCCCTCCCTCCTCCTCCTCTCCCCGCCTCCGAGGTCCCGCCCCGCCCTCCCCAGAGGAGCTGTCTCTCCGCCGAGCGTCTTCTGTGCTCTCTCCATTGTCTCTGTCTTTACAACAGGTTTGGGCGCTGGGAAGACGGGCGGGTGCGGGGCTGCCCCATCCTAGGCTTTTTGGGGGGCCGCCTCCCTCCTTCCGGGTGTGCGTGCCTTCTGCTGCCTTTATTCCGGCTCAGGAGCTAATTTCCCCGCAAAGCAGCCTCCGGGCAAGTCTCCCCCTGCTCTGGGCCCCCTCCCAGCCGGCCCGCTGCCTGGGCGCTGCGTGTGGGAACGGTGTGAGCTTGGAGGGTCCAAGTTCTTCACGTGCCAGGGGGTCCTCCCTTTTCTGTTTTAGGCAACCAAACCGTACTAATCCTACTAATCTGTAAATCCGAGGCAGCGGCTGGAGAGACAAACGCTATTTTCCCGCTTGATTCCAAGGACTGCTTCAATTTTTATTTTTATTTTTATTAAGAGGGGGACGATGGACTGAGCAGATCCACGCCATGGAGTCTCGGGTCTTACTGAGAACCTTCTGTTTGATCCTGGGTCTCGGAGCAGGTGAGTGGCCCCAGCGCTGGGCGGCGGAGGGAAGGGTTGGCCCCAGTTGACTGGGGACAGACGCCTGGCTTTTCCTCCGCCCCAAGTAGGTCTGGAGTGGGAAGCCTGGCAGAGGGGGCGGCTGTGGATTTGGGTTTTCTCTGTGCTTGTCTTGGAGACGGAAGGGCAGGTCACACCCCTAGTCCAGGGTCTAGGGGCCCCAGGGGAACTTTGCACCCAGAGGGGTTTGAAGTAGGTCAGGGAAATGGGACGGGGTGCGCCGCTATTTAAAGCGTGGCTGCTGGTCTCAGGTAAGGCTCTCCGCGCGGCCAGGAGGGAGCCGCCTCTCCCCAGTTCCCAATGTTTTCCAGACGCGGTTCTTTGCTGCCCTGGAGGAAGAGGCATGCATTTTGATGGAGCTTTCTCTTTCTTTCCTCCTCCCACTCCCACTGCCACCAGTTTGGGGGCTTGGTGTGGACCCTTCCCTGCAGATTGACGTCTTAACAGAGTTAGAACTTGGGGAGTCCACGACCGGAGTGCGCCAGGTCCCCGGGCTGCATAATGGGACGAAAGCCTTTCTCTTTCAAGGTATGAAGAGCTTGCTGAATCCTTGTGCAGGTTTAGTTCAGATAAGCCCGGGAGTGGCCTGACCACTCCTCTGTGCCGCCTCATGGGCGATAGGATCTGAGCTGAGATGTGGAGGGGTCAGTGTGAAATACACACACCTTCCATCTCTTTTTAAATGGCTTGGTTTTTCTCGCCTCCCGCCCCCCCCCCCCTTACTTTGTACTCTTGCCAGTTCTAATGGATAGTGCCTTAATTACTGTACAGAAACTCCAATGGCAGATGGTAGATTTTAGAGTCTGGGGAACAATGAATTATAACACAAATGCCTCATTTGGGTAAAATTGATTTAGGTAGGAAGGAGGATAGCTTAATCGTAGTTAAGACACTGCTCTCTGAAAGTTTCAGGTACAATGGTACCTGGTTGGGAGGAATTTCTTCATGTGGGTAGCTTTCTGGAGACACGAATACCTCCCAGTAGCTTTATCTATTGTGCATCACAAACAATATATCTGGGACAAGATTCCTCATTGGAAGATCATGATTTTTCCTTCTTCACCAATGACAAGAGACAGGGAATACTATTTCTTAACAATTACTTGGAAAATATTTCAAATGTGTGCTAATTCAAAAGTATACCGGCATCACCATTACTTGTATACTTAGGATTTTAAAACTTTTTTTTTGAAGTTACGAGGCATTGGCACACGTGTCTACATTTAAACTCTATTTAATTGTGTTGTATAGTCAGAAGCAAATTCCAATGCATCAAGCCTCGGACTTTGATTTACTGAAGCTTTAGACCATTGCTGGATTTGTGGAAAGATGCTGTAATAAGAGTTTCTAAAAGGTGGCTAACCACATTCAGAAAGATTAGTTTCAGATGGTGAAGGAGAGATGAAGGCAAAGGAGAAATGGAGTTTGGTGTAACATATCTGGTGGGCTGACTAAAGTGTCTTCTCCCTTCCTCACTCCACCTAGATTTTTTCTTTTGTGATTTTGGTGCCATGACTTCAAAAGAAGTGTAACTCATAATTCCTAAAGAGTTAGATATGCAAAATAAAACCACTTCAGCAAATCTGCCACCAAGAAATAGGCATAAAAAAACCCCCGTGTTTCCGTGGTGGTGCTATTGCCTGATACAGCCAGTAAGTGTCACCATGGACAGTAACACCAAAGCTTATAGTTGAAGGAGGAGGAAATTGACATGTGTTGCATTTATTTAAAACAAGTTTACTTATAAGAAATAAAAATGTATTTTTTTTCATTAGGGTGAGCGCACTAAATGTTTCTGTGACAAATATAATAAAATTATATTTTACTTATTTATTTTTATTACTTAAAGGTCTGTTTTTGGGTTGGGGGTATATTTAGTCATTTAAGAATAATGACTAAATCTAATAAAGGAAATAAAACCAGACTGTTAGAAAAATTCAGAGTAAAATAGAAGTGTCATTAGGGTTAAGCTTCTTTTCCTTTTCCTTTCTTTCTTTTTTTTTATGACTGCTTTTAAATTCTTGTGAACACAATAGAAAGTTATTTCAGGACTGCTTATTTGTGTAACTGGGGAGTTTACAGAAGCTAAAGCTCCTATTAAAAAGAGGTGTTTAAGTGCCTTAAATTTTTCAAAGGTCCTTTAAAATTTATCAGCGGTTCTCAACCTGTGGGTCGCGACCCCTTTGGCAGTCGAACGACCCTTTCACAGGGGTCGCCTAAGACCATCCTGCATATCAGATATTTATATTATGATTCATAACAGTAGCAACATTACAGTTATGAAGTAGCAACGAAAATAATTTTATGGTTGGGTCACAACATGAGGAACTGTATTTAAAGGGCCAGAAGGTTGAGAACCACTGCTTTAAATTATATTAGTGTTCTTCATACTTTCTTCTGAAGAGAGTCTGAGCTGTCACAAATACAAACCTCCAGGACTGGGCATTTTATGTCCTCATGCTAGACAATTAGACAATTTCTAAGAAACAGTTTCAAGGGATCAATGTCTTTTCATGATTCATTTATTTATTTATTTATTTTTAATTAATCATGATTCATTTTTTAAAGGAATGTTTACTATTCATTTTTATTTAGATTGCCAGCTCTTCAAGTTTGGCATTATATCGCAAATACATAAATCTCATGAAATATATGTTCTTTTAATTGTTCATAGTAACTATATACAGTGCACATTGATGAATTGGCTATTTTTGTTTCCTTGTTGGTACCAAGTCCAATATTTAGAGCAGCAATTTTCAACCTTTTTCTTTTCATGGCACACATAAGCTAATTACTAAAATTCTGCACCACACCAAAAATATATTCTTTGCTGACCTGATAAAAAGAGTAGGTACAATTTTGATTCATTCACACCAGATGGTTATTTTTGTGTTGGCTGTTGTCTTTAATTTTTTTTTTTTTTATAATTTGACAGTCTAAGGAAAAAGAGGTGAGTACCCCAGACTAAAAAGTTAGGTATGGTTTAAAAATTTTTGTGGCACACCAGTGTGCTCTGTGGCACACCATTTGAAAATTTCTGCTTTAGAGTAAATGCCTAACAAATACTGTGTATGAGATTTGAAGAGGTAAAATTTCATTTCCTGCCAAATGATGAACTTTATTTCATATAGCCAATCAATCAGCAAGTATTTGCTGCCTGCCATGTTCTCAGTAGGCATGTATTCCTGATGTACTGATTATATTCTACTGATTTCTTTTATTCTGAGATTTAGATTCTGAAATAGACAGCAGGTAGACCTTTGGCCTTACTCCATAGTTACTTTGGAAACATTTTTTTTCCTGTTATTAGAATGTGGAAACTATTTTTAAGAAATCAGTTTTGACTCCCTCCTACTGCTTCACTGGGATTCTGTGGATTTTAGAGAGACAAAAGCTTTCAGACTCTGAAGATTTTACGGATTCAATTTATAGTCAATTGCGAGTGCTGCAGATCTTTTTGTATAGTGTGTAAATGGCATAGCAAGAATAGTAACAAATTACAAAACCTGTGAGATGTCCTCAGATTTCAAATAAACCTATCAGATAAGTTACTTTGAGTTATCAGATATGTTTTAAATAGGTGAAACAGATTTTGAGCCATCAAATTTTTCCTGCAGTGGTGTAACTGTTTTCTTTTGTTCTTAGCTTTAAAATAATTTCAATGTATAGTTTCCCAGTGATTTTTGCTCATTAAATATTGCTTCTCCTTCTGCCTACTTCATTATTCTCTTTAGCAATTTTTAAGATTCTTGCAATTCAGTACTTTTTGTTTGTTTTCTGTTAATTCTCACCTGAGGATATTTTTTCCATTTATTTTTAGAAAGAGTGGAATGAAGGGAGGGAGGGGAAGAGAGAGAGAGAGAGAAGGGAGAGAGGAGAGAGAGGGAAACATTGATGTGAGAGAGACACATCCATTGGTTGCCTTCCACACGCACCCCCACCAGTGCAGGGATTGAACCTGTGACCCTTAGGGGCATGGGCCAATGCTCTAACCCAGTGATGGCGAACCTTTTGAGCTCGGCGTGTCAGCATTTTGAAAAACCCTAACTTAACTCTGGTGCCGTGTCACATATAGAAATTTTTTGATATTTGCAACCATAGTAAAACAAAGACTTATACTTTTGATATTTATTTTATATATTTAAATGCCATTTAACAAAGAAAAATCAACTAAAAAAATGAGTTCGCGTGTCACCTCTGACACGCATGTCATAGGTTCGCCATCACTGCTCTAACCACTTATCCACACTGGCTAGGACTGTAATTCAGTACTTTTTGAAACTATAAATAATTTTTGTAACTTGTTGTGCAATATGAATCTACTATTACTTGATAGTTTTACTTTATTATATATGCATTCAAAGGAAAATATGTTCACAAGTCAACTCTTATGCCAATATATGAAAACAAGAGTGAAATTGGGCATTTGGTGGTGGGCCATTGACAAAGGTAACTGCATTAAGGAAAGTGAGTGACAATATTTGTCTTCAGTATGATGGTTAGTGAGCCCATATGAATTTAGGGATAATACTTATTGTCCCCAATATAATAAAATAACACAATAACTAAGAGACAGACTCAGAAACCAGACTGACCCAAGTGGAATCTCATTTCCTGTTTTACTATGGTGAAATTACTTAATTTCTCTGAGTTTTTATCCTCAATTATAAAATTAATGTTGTTATGTTGATTAAAGGAGACCTGTTCATTCATCCAAATAAATTTTGTTGTATAATTACTATTCTTCTACGTGTTAGGCATATAACAAATGAAGAAGTGAGAACTTTGTTTTCATAGTGGCTTGAGATAGTCATTACACAAACAAGCACACAGATAATTTAATCATCATTAAGAAAAATGATATGAAGTAAAATAAAAGTAAAAATGATATGAAGTCCCATAAAAGGGTGTAATGGGACTCTACATTTCCATGTAGGGAGTCACAGGATCCAGTCTTTGAAGAAGAGTAATTTAGGCAGATAGCTGAAGGATAAATAAAAGTAATCTGGAAAGGGGATCTGTGGAGATTCAGAGAGGAAGAGTAACAAAGGCAATGAAATAGCATGAGCAGAAATTCTGGAATAAGCATGGCGCATTTGAGAAAAAGGAAGAAATCAAGAGTAGTGGAAACATATGGGTTGTGATATGAAATGAAGCAAATGAAGAAATCAGGGACCAGGTTACATGCTAGGTCATCTTTATATAGAGTAATAAAAATTGTCATTATACAGAGATATATTAGGGTGGGCAGAATAATGGTCCCTCAAATATGTGCACATCCTAATCCTAGAAACTGGAGAAATGTCATGTTACATGTCAGTGTGGAATTAAGGTTGCTCATAGGATTAAGGTTGCTAACCAGCTGACCTTAGGATAAGGAAACTATCCAGGAATATCTGGGTAGGTATCAGGTAACCACAAAGATCCTTTAAACCTGGAAGAGGAGATAGAAGAGGGATGCAATGAGAGAATGACCACACCCGCCATTGCTGGCTTTGAAGATAAAAGTGGGCCATAGGCCACAGAAT